TTTTTTTTTTTTTTTTTTTTTTTTTCTGGTTAAACTCTTGTTTTTTTAATCGTACAGGCAAAGCTGGAAGAAGCCGTCTCCTTGGCCACGGGTTTCCAGACCTCGCTGCAGGACACCATGAACTGGCTGACCCAGGCCGAGCAAACCCTGAACATGGCTCAGCMCCCCAGCCTGATCCTGGACACGGTTCTGTTCCAGATCGATGAGCACAAGGTTGGATTTAAATCTGAAACTGCAGAAACAAACAACAAATAAAACTCTTGTTTAGTTTCCTTATGGCTCCGCCTCCTCTGGTTCTGTCCAGGTGTTTGTGAAYGAGGTGAACACCCACAGGGAGCAGGTTCTGGCTCTGGAGAAGGCCGGCTCGCAGCTCCGCTTTGCCAGCATGAAGCAGGACGTGGTTCTGATCAAGAACCTGCTGCTCAGTGTCCAGGCCCGCTGGGACAAGCTGGTCCAGAGGTCTCTGGACCGAGGCCGGCATCTCGACGAGGCCCGCAAACGAGCAAAACAGGTCYGGAAACCAGATGTTTGTGGCTAAAATAATGAATACATGCAGTAACTGCTCAGCTGAACCTGAAGACGGTTCTGTTCTCAGTTCCACGAGGCCTGGAGGAAGCTGACCGACTGGCTGGAGGAGGCCGAGAAGAGACTGGACTCAGAACTAGAGATCTCCAACGAGCCGGACAAGATCAAAGTCCARCTCACCAAACACAAGGTAGGACCCGGACCTGGACCCGGCTGCTGCAGCTGACTGCAGCRTCTGGATACAAACCTCTCTGTCGCCTCGTTCCTCAGGAGTTTCAGAAAGCTTTAGGCTCCAAGCAGCCTGTTTACGACACCACAGTCCGGTCCGGGAAGGCCATGAGGGACAAAGCCCAGCTGCCCGCAGACCAGCAGAAACTGGACCACCTGGTGGGAGAAGTCCGTGACAAGTGGGACACCGTGTGTGGGAAGAGCGTGGAGAGGTGCGGCAGGTGAAACCTGGTCGAGTTTTTATCTGAACCTTCGAAGTAAAACTGTTTTTTTCCTCCTGGCTCCAGGCAGCACAAGCTGGAGGAGGCTCTGCTGTTCTCAGGTCAGTTTGCAGAAGCTCTGCAGGTTCTGGTGGACTGGCTGTACCGGGTGGAGCCTCAGCTGGCTGAAGACCAGCCTGTCCATGGAGACATGGACCTGGTGTCCAACCTGATGGACGCTCACAAGGTGGGTCAGGACGGAGCAAAGGTCAACGACACGCCGACTCTAACGTGTGGTAACGTTTGTTCTGTCGACGCCTGCAGGCCTTCCAGAAGGAACTGGGCAAGAGGACCGGCAGCGTCCAGGCTCTGAAGCGCTCGGCCCGGGACCTGATGGAGACGGGCCGGGACGACACGGCCTGGGTCAAAGTTCAGCTGCAGGAGCTCAGCAACCGCTGGGAAACGGTCTGCGCCCTGTCAGTCAGCAAGCAGACCCGCCTCCAGCAGGCACTTAAACAGGTGGGCCGGATCTGCACACACCTGCTGCACCCACCCACCTGCTGCACCCACCCACCTGCTGCACC